ACTCATTTAAAAAATGTCTTAATTAAACTTGTGGCTGAACTCCTTGAGGGAGAATTGTATGTCTTCTGCTCCATGGTTCTACCCACATTCTGCCATATATTTCGTGTTATGGCAGTCTCGGATGCTGTCTCAGCATATGTTTGATTTAAGAATGCTTTCAGTGCAGATTTGGCAAAATGCAAAAAAGGTACCAATATGAGATTTCTAAAGATCTTTACGGTTGAAGAATCTGAAGTGCCTTCCAAAATCTGAGAGGGATGAGGTGTGAAACATGCTGGCGGAAGTCTTAAGAGCAACACTCCTATGCAGAAACTACAGAACTCGAACCACCAAAAAAGAAAACCAGCTTTCTGTTGGTGGCATCTGACTCGGATGATGAAAATGAAGGTGTCAGTCTGCACTGCTTTGGATTGTTATCAAGCAGAACCCCGCCTGTTCTTACACTCAGGTGACATTGTAAATAAGAAGTGGGTAACATTACATTTACAGGAGAGAAACAAATGTGTTGGTCTTGATTGGCTGAACAAGAAGTAGGACTGAGTGGACTTGTAAGTTCTAAAGTTTTACATTTGTTTTTGAGTGCACTTATGTAAAAAAATAAAAATTCTACATTTGTAAATCGTGCTTTCATGATGGAGATTGCACTACTGTTCTTGTATGAGGTGAATTGAAAAATACTATTTTTATTTACAGTGCAAATATTTGTAATAAAATAGAATGTAAATTATGTTGTATTATTGATATATTTAAAAATGTTGGAAAAAATCTGAAAATATTTATTATAAATTTAAATTGGTATTCTATTGTTTAACAGTGCGACTAAACCTGCAATTAATTGCTACTATTTTTTAATCTCTCCATTAATTGCAATTGTTTGATAGCCTTAACATAAATATATTTATAGTGCAATCAGGAAGGCGTAAGGGGTTCACATGGAGATCTTCACATATAGTACTGGTAAATCCAGTATGACTTTTCAGTGAAGGTTAGCTCTTGTTGTGCTATGTGATGGAACTTTGACTAAACAAACACAATTAGTGGAAATGGTAGGGAAGGACTTTTGTCAGGCATGTTTCATGTCAGGTTTTAAAGCATATCTAGAGATAGGTTTTTTGGAGGACAGGAATCAAACACAAAAAAAAATCTGGTGTGCTTAAATTTTTTTCTTTAACTCCATGCCTTCTTTCTTTAAAGTTCCTTATCTTGCTGAAGAAAATGCTAAAGAAATAACGTAAGCAATGTTAATTTCAACATCTATTTTTAAGACTGCCTATTTCAGAGCTTGGCACCTCACTGTTAATAAGTTTTCGTATTAAATCTTAACATTTTTATAGGTAGTTTGTCCATAATAGATACTGAATCGGCAAAAGAAATCTTATTTCTTTGTAATATTATAAAATGTCATATGAACTTAACTACCAATTAAGTGCCAGTTCATTTAGGATGTCATCGCTGTGCTGTAACATTACTGTTAATTTAAATGTGCAATATTGTGCCATGATAGCACTTGGTGATTAGTTTTTTGCCTCAGTGTGCCTGAGGCAAGCAACTGTAGTATGATGCATTAGTACGTGATGCCTTGTGCAGTGTGCTCAATTGAGAGACGCTGGGGGATATAACTTTGTTTGCATCACTGTCGCTATGCTGAATTTCCATCTCCGAAGGTGCAGGATCTAATTACTTTACGCTTTCATACATTTTTAACTTGTCTTGGCAGTGGCTCTGATAAAATAGAACTATGACCTACTAATGAGTGGGAGAAAGTTAGTTGTAAAATAGATTGAGTTCAAAAATGAGCCACAATCAGTAATTTTTGGAAATCTGAGAATTGCAGCATCTGTTACAGGAGTACTTGGTCCCTAAGTTTCTAGTATGACCATGTATGCACCCACCTTGTAATCAACTGCTGTCCTCCCATCCTGGAAGCAGGGGATGTATGACTTCACCAAGAACCTGTCATAAGGACACCCCCTACCACTTCATGAATTGGTTCTTGCACTCCTCTGTTGATTGGGGTGAGAAAAATGTCTTGTCTTAAGAAAAAGTTTATGGTAGGTATAGAACAAGTGTGTTAAATCATACCTCTGCTAAACTGATAGCACCTCTGCCTCTACTTCTACCTTGTAGGTGTAGTGCTAGGAGTATGGTATTCAGACCATGGTACTATCATGATTCTAGCACTGAGAGGGAGGATCATATTAGTAATTTGAAAATAGTTACACATTAAATTACTTCCTTTAATATTTTTATTTATCCTGAATCTAGGACTTTTTAGGAAGCTGCTATTAACTCATTGAGTATTTCCAATCATGTTAATTTGAAGCAAGCATAGATAAAATTTTTGTACGGATGTCCCCTTAAAAAATAGTGTCCTGGGACAAGAATAGGCCAAACAAGAATTAACCATACTGCTTTTAAAATCTGTTCACAGGAATAAACTGCAGACTTTTTCATTGACCTGTAGTTCAAACATTTGTATTAAAATTATACCTCTACCCCAATATAATGTGACCCGATATAACACAAATTCGGCTATAACGTGGTAAAGCAGTGCTCTGGGGGGAGGGGGGGTGCTGCGCACTCCGGTAGATCAAAGCAAGTGCGATATAACGCGGTTTTACCTATAATGCGGTAAGATTTTTTGGCTCCCGAAGACAGCGTTACCTCAAGGTAGAGGTGTATATGTGGAGAGATCCAGGTTGGTTCAATTGCAAATAAGTATGCCATTGATACATATTTATTGCATTGTATATATATATTTTTAAAACTGTCAATTATTAAATTAGCTTAAATTAATTTTTGTAATGAGCACTACATATGTTTGTATAATCAAATCTCCTTCTGGATACTTACCAAAGATACAATTGGTAATTCACTAAGTAAGCATGCATATGTTTAAATATTAAATCACATTCTTCATTTAATACACTAAAGCACAGTAAAGGAAAGACTTACTGAAAAAATACATTGTATAACAAATTTATATTGTATATCCAGTTGTGCAATATGAGGAAAATATTTCAAATGCCAGTATTTCATTTTTTTTATTGTAAGTACTGTATGTTTAAAAGGAGCAGTATACCAATGTGGTGGTGAACAGAAGACTTCCAACTCTTTAGAAAGGTCATCACAAATTACCTACCTTAAATGTGAAGTATGTTTTGCATTTTCCCTTTTTTTTCCCCTTAAACAGTGCAAGCCTCTCTTTCAAGGCTTTGGATAGCTTATTTCAAGAACTGGTATAATTTCTTGGAGTAGACTTCAAAATTTTGATGTAACTAGAAGTTTTAGAGACTGTCCACTGGCTAGACTTCTGTTTGATTTCTTATGACCTGCCTGTCAGTTAACTTCAGACTCCTAGTTTAGATTTTTAAGGTTTTCCTTCTTCTGTGGGAAGTATTATGTTTGCTTTAAAAAAAAATTAAAATGTAGTGAGTAAACTAATATTTAGGTGTAAATAATATCTCTACAAGGTTCTAGGTCCCCAACATACAATTGGTAGTATAACAAAATTTCTGCATCATTAAAATCATATTTCAGACAATAACTCAGACCAAAAAAAAATCCTTTCCACACTATCTACAAAGTCTAATTTTTAAAAAAGCCTGAATTTGGTGGTTTTTAATAAAAACGGTGGATCGGAGCAGGGTAAGGACCAAGTTCCAGAGTCCTGGAGCTCTCATAGAGATCACCTTGCCAGTAACCACACTTAGTGTTTTTGGGTTTTTTTTTAAAAGTGGTTCCAACTATGAGCATCTCAGCTGTAGCAGTATAGCACAGGAAGAAGGGCAGTACCTCAGAACATGCATTGTTTGTGGGGAAACCAGGTCAAAAGTGCATTTCATGTTGAATCAGAAAATGTTGAGGTTTGTGGTTGTATTTATTGTTGGGGTGATGTCATTAGTATTGGGCAAGCCTGTAAAAAGGCCTTGTCTTTCTGTGCACATGTTAATTCACTTAGATAATTGTTACATGGATCCTGATGGTTGAGGCCTCCAAGAATGAGGTGGAATTTTAGGTGTTGTGGACAGAGACCATTTAGATCCTTGAAGATCAAGATCAAGAATTTGAAAGTGATGTCATTGTCAATAGAAAATGGAATGAGCGAAGTACAGGGACTTTGTGCTCTTGCTTACCACGTGGCTGAGGAGGTACCCTGCTGCGTTCTGCACCAGTTGCAGTTTTTCGAAGTTGATGCTTTCAGATCCAAGTAAATTGTATTTCTGTAAACTAATTAGAGGATGCAAGAGGCAATATGATGATCAAAGATGGGATGCAATCTTTAAGCCAGCTGGGATAATAGAATGTTTCTCAGAGATGTTGCTATGAGGGCCCAGCATCAGTGAGGAGTCTAAAAAGACCCTTAGATTGCAGTCTGTCTTGACATTTACAGACATACAGCCTCCATTGGCACTGTGGTAAGCTCTTCAAAGTGCTTCCCTCTACCTACAAGCATAACCTGTCTTAAGTGGGTTAAGCATCAGCCAGCTCTTCTTGTCCATGTGCTGATCTCAGGCAGATATTGGGATAACATGGTTACAGATTTACCTGTATATGGTTAACATTTGAACTCATGTAGTCAACTTTTTTCCCGGTGGTTACACGTAAATATTTATAAGACCAAAGAGAACTGAACCTTGTGGCACTTCACAAGGGAGCACTATATTAAACTATTCAAAAAGCTTTCTATCCTTCAGTGTACTTTCTTTTCTGCCTTCATAATGAAGCTTTTACCATATTTGTGAGGTATTTTATCTTTTTCTTTAACCCTGTGGTTCCCAAGATCTGTGGTGTAGAAGATTCCAAAATTGATTAAAGCACCTCTCAGTTATAAACAATGTACACTAAGCCCTCTTCTGTTGTAGCTTTCTGTGAGCGGCTTCATTTTAAATGGCTTAGGAGAACACTGTTTACAAATCCTTGTATGCTGTTTTTCTTCATATAATTATTAATTAAATATATATATATTTAATCTTGGGTTTTTTTTTTTTGCTTTTTAGACAATGAGAAGACACAGAAATGAAGTAACAATTGAACTGCGGAAGGTAATTTGATCTGCTTTTGCTTATCGGCTGTACATTTTCTTAACATTTTCTAGTGTCTTCATCTATTACTATTGTTGTGTTTCTACTACAAGCCTGTATTCAAGGCCCCATGTCCTATATAGAATGTTAGGCTTAAATTGTCTTGTGGACTCTAGAAGCATGAAGTATTTCTTCACTTCCCCACTCCCTCCTAGTCTTCTCAACCCCATTGTCTACTTTTAGCTCAGCTTAGCTTAGTCAACATATAGCCGTTGCTGTGTGTATTTAATTTGGAGTAAAGTTCAGTTTAATACTCTGTGAGCTGAGGGGTGAAAACATTATTTACTCTGCCACCAAATTTTCAATGTACTACTCCCTTTTGCATTGCAAAGTATTGTAGAAGCTGTCAAGAAGCTGGAAGCTTGAAATCTTGGAACGGAGCAGTTCTGGCACTTCAGAGGGTGTCTTGTTTTTTGGTTCTCAGGCCTGATCTACAGGACTTATGCATGACCTGTGTCAACCCTAACAGTCCTCCACCATCTGTCCCACAATACCCCATTCCCTGCGACAGTGACTACTCCGGCCACAACTGTAAACTATGCTTCTCAGGAGTCAGAGACTGGAAGCCACCACTCCCCCCCCTCCCACCCATACCATTTAAGCTCCCCCTTGTGTTGTGTGTGTGTGTGTGTGTGTTTGGTTTTTTATGCCATTTCCTGATTGCACACCATGGCAAGCACATCTAGCAGCTCACCCTTGTGTGCAACCGCCCAACTGACTGTGGTGGGTCCATGTACTAGATGCAGTGCTGCCTGCAGTAGACCGGAGGTATAGGAACTTCTACCTGTGGGAAGAAGTGGTTTCAAGCACAGCTATAGACCAGTTGTAGAAACATGGACATCTATGAACAGATTGCATTTGGGATGCCGCCCAAGGGGTATGATGGGAATAAGCAACAGTGAAGCATGAAAGCAAAGGAACTTCAGTAGGAATATCACAAGGTCAGGGAGGCCAACAATAAATGAGACGGTGACCTTACAACAAGCTGCATACCATTCTTGTTGGAGACAAGTCAGCCCTGGGGCTGGTATTCTAGGCAGTAAAGGAGCATAGAGGCCTGTACATATCGATGAGGCTCATTCACAGAGCCCAAATATTAGCTCCAAATGTGAAGAGAAGTCTGAGAAGGAGGAAACTAAACATCACTCCTCAAAGAACAGCCTAAGGCCTTGTCCACACTACAGAGTTGTATCAACACCTTAAGCAGACAATAACAAACTGGTATAATTACATCACTTGTACATGTTCACACTAAGCTCCTTCTGTTGGCAGAGCGTGTACACACTTGGTGCTCTAGCATTGACAGTGAGAGCAGTGCACTGTAGGTAGCTATCCCACTATGCTTCTATGCCACCTTCTAAAGCTAGGAGTTGTGGTAAGGCAGAATGGATCTTAGTGCATAATGGGTGTGGACTCAACGTCCCATGCAGTTCTTTCTGTCCCAACATTCCATGGGCTTCTGACTGCATTTCATGGCATTTTTCAATGGCCTCTGTTACTATGTGCCTGTTATATCTGTCTGAAAGGATGGGTCCTCCACTGCACTTTACTGTTGTGACCACTGTTCTGAACACATCACAGAGGGTCATGCAGTGTATCATGAGCACACAGTCTGAACAGGAATCAGAGTTGCCTGACCTGCTGTGTGCCATAGAAAGAAACACCAGATTACTTTAGTCGTTCATGGAGCAGCTGAATACTGTGGACTATCGCTTTTGGACTCAGGAAACCAGCATTGAGTGGTGGGATCCCATCATTATGGAGGCCTGGGATGACAAGCAGTGGTTGTAGAACTTTTGGCTGCGAAAAGCCACCTTCCTAACTGGCGGAGCGATAGATGGCACGCATATTCCAATTTTGGCCCTGGACAGTCTTGCGATGGAATACATCAATAAAGGGGGTACTTCTCTATGGTATTGCTGACACTTGTGGATCACCATGGGCGTTTCACTGACATCAATGTGAGGTGGTCCAGGAAGGTGCATAACACAAACATCTTCAGAAACACTGGCCTGTACAGAGAGCTCCAAGCAGCAACTTTCTTTCCCGGCCAGAAAATTCCAGTTGGGGATGTTGAAATGCCCATAGTGATCCTGGGAGATCCAGTCCTTACTCCCATGGCTCATGAAGCCTTACATGGGAAACCTGGACAGCAGCAAGGAGCACTTCAACCATAGGCTGAGCAGGTGCAGAATGACCATGGAATGTGCCTTGTGCAGGTTAAAAGCACACTGGTGCTGCCTTTATGGCAGATTAGACCTAAATGAGAAAACATTCCCATGGTCATAGGAGCCTGTTGCAGCTCCATAATATTTGTGAGGCTAAAGGTGAAAGGTTTTTTTTTCCCTCTCTCCTCTCTCTCTCTCTTCCCCCCCCCCCCCCCCCCCTCCGCCCCAGGCTGGAGTGCGGAGGTGGATCGCCTGGCTGCTGAATTTGAGCAGCCAGATACCAGGGCTGTTAGAGGGTCACAAGCGGAAGCTATTCGAATCGGGGAGGCTTTGAGGCAACATATTGATGATGAGCCCCAGTAATGTCATTTCATACAGCCCTTTAACTTGCTGCCTTGCATGAAAATTGTGGTGATTCATGACTAGGATTTTTAGTCAACAAATGATCAAACTGCCACTATGTATTACTACCAGCAGCAACCACCACATGTAGGAGACAGATTGGTTATCTTTCAAAGAGTTTTTTATTAAATACCAATTAACACACACAAGACTTAATGGGAAGGGAGATAATAGTGCTGGGCAGTGTTGTCTCATAACTGTGTAAGTCAAGCTATCATTTTGGAAGCTGTCCAACGGAGTGGAGTGAATGGAGTACCGAGAAGTTCCAGGAAGTTGCAAGGAATGTTTGGAAGGAGTTTGGGGAGGGCATGGAAAGCAATTCTGTATTGGCTGCAGGAGGGGGCTGAGCACATGTGTTCTATCTGGGGCATGATTAGGGTCTTCAACATCTGTTTGCTCCTCCATCACTTTTATCATTCGCTCCTAGCCTTTAACTATGCACTCCTCACACTCCTTTCTGTCCTGCAGGGTCTTTTTCCACTTTGTTTTTTCAGCCTCCAGGTATTGGAGCATCTCTCGGAACATGTCCTCCTTGTTCCATCTTGGTCGCTTTCTTATCTGGTGGAGGCACTTGGCTGGAGTGTTGGGGGTTCCCTCCGAAGGTCATATCTGCAGTAGCATAAGAAACAATACGCAGCAGCATGATTGTTAGTTCACGCACAGCATTGAATCATAGTGAAATACACCTCTTTTAACATACCAATCACTTTCTCACTGTCCTTTGACAAGCAAACATCTTGGTGAATGCCCTGAATATGGTGAGCTCGGCCTGGGCATTCAGAAAGGGCCAAAGGGTCAAAGTGGCTTTTAAGGGGATCAGTGCAGGTGACTAAGGACAATATTGTAAATTCTATCACCATTTTCCACAGGCGGGGGTGATTGAAGCCGATACTTTGCTCCTGAGTAAACAAGGATGCATCTTCACAATTGCAATTTCAGGTCCGGTCCCTATGCTGCTCACCTGTGTGCCGCTTTGGTCCCTGCAGAAGTGATTGCTGAGTGGTGCAGGAAAGTTTCCTACAGTGGGGGAAGGGACAAAGCAGCTCTGCCAAGGAACCTTCAGCAGAGGATTGGAGAGTACCTGGAGGAAAGTTTCCTGTAGATCTCTCTGGAGGTTTCCCATGAAATCTCGGTGTGTATCAACGTGCTGTTCTGCCACACTGCTTAACTGCACAGGGGATATGGAGCACACAGAAACACAGCTAGTCTTGCACATTTCTATCCCTTCACCCGCTTCTAGAGTATGCAGAGCAAAGAACATCTCTATCTCATATAACCGAGCAGCATCAATGCAAAAATATAATTTACCCAGGACTCTCGTCTCTTACATCATGCGCACCAGAGACGGACTGCTGGGACTGGCCAGACCCTTCCAGAGTGGGAAAAGAGGTCCTGACTCACCATGCCACCAGACAGCTGTGACGTGTGCACCGCCTCTTCATCTATGACTTCATCCTTGGGGTTGAGTCCAGTGTCTGCTGCCTGCTGCCCCAACGAAGTATCCACTTGGCTTTTGGTGGTGGAGGTGGGGTTGCTGCTAAGGATGGTGTCCAGCTCCTTATAGAAGTGGCAGGTCTTTGGCGCAACACCAAAGCAAGAGTTTGCCTCCCTTGCCTTCTGGTAAGCCTGCCTCAGCTCTTTTATCGTCATATGGCACTGCATCATGTCCCATTTGTGGCCCCTCTCCAACAAGCCATGAGAAATCTGCTATAGGTATTGAAGTTCCTACAGCTGGAGTGGAGCTGGGACTGCACAGCCTCCTCTCCCCAGTGCCAGGAGATCCAACAACTCAGATGCGTTACAAGCGGGAGAGCATTTGCTGCGTGGAGTCATCATGGTCAGCTGGGAAGATGTGATGTGAGCTCTCCATGCTGTGCAAACAGGAAGTGGAATTTCAAAAATTCCTGAGCCTTTAAAGGAGGAAGGGCAGATGTCTGTGTACCTGGGTGCAGGGGGAGTTCGAACTGCTGACCAGAGCGGTCAGGATGGGCATTGTGGGATACCTCCTGGAGGCCATTTATAGCAACATAACCAACCACAGTGTCTACACTGACATTTTGTTAATCTAACTTTGCCACAAAAAGCTCTACACCTCTTGTCGAGGTGGTTTTATTTTGTCGGTAAAGCAGGAGAGTGTTGTTGGCAGAAGTAGCATTGTAGTGTATACATGGCCACTGTTTTGTTGACAAAACATGACTTTTGGTCTAAGTCCTTGATCAGATAGGGAGTGAGACCCCCAGTGCCAGCCTTGGTACTGGTCTCTGCAGCTGAGCTCAGCAAGGGCCCAAGATACAATTTGGAGGATTTTGGATCACCTCCAGAGACCTTCACCATGCCAAAGAAATGACTGGCACTGATGCCATATCACCTTTACAGCACTGCCATTCAAAG